TGTTCTTAACCAATGAGCTATTTCTCCAGCCCCCAAACTGTCTTTAAAGCTCACCAGAAGTAGCCAAAATGGTGGTATATGCCTTTAATCCCAACATTCAGGGGACAGAGACAATCTGGTTATATAATGAGTTTTAGACCATCCAGGGTGACATAGTGAGACCCTGTTTTTTTTTTAAAAAAAAAAAAAACAATCACCAGAAGCCAAGCATGGTGGCACACACTTATAATTCCAGCACTCTTGAGACTGAGACAGGAGGATTGTGAGTTTGAAGCAGCCTGAGCTAGAGAGAGAAAGAGTGGGAGACCGACTTTGTCTCAAACAAATAGAGGCTAGAAAGATGGTTTAGTAGTTAAGAGCATTGGTTGCTCTTCTAGAGGACTGGGGTTAGGTTCCCAGCACCAACATGGTAGCTCACAGACATTTGTATCTCAAGTTCATGGTGTCCAACACTCACTCTTCTGATATTTGTGGGAACCAGACACACATATGGTACAGAGACATACATTCAGCCAAAATACTCATGCACATAAAACAGTAAAATAGTTTTTAAAACTAAATAAACAAAAAAATAACACCAGAAGTTGGATAAAAGCCTTTAGTTGGATTTTTAAAAAAAGTAATTAGGATGATGCCATGGGGAAGTGAGCTAGATAGAATACCAACACCTACAGTTACTCAGAAAAGACACAGCATCATAAGCCAAAACTGAAATGGGGGTTTTAAAAATAGAGTTAGATACTTAAGAACTCTTAGAAAAAAATTACATTTTTGTATTTTATAATCATCATACATGCATACGTATTTAAAAGCACTTTATGACCAAGCAGTGATGATGCACACCTTTAGTCCCAGTACTTGGGAGGCAGAGATGGGCAGATTTCTGTGGCAGAGTCCAGCCACAGAGTTCCAGGACATTCAGGGTTATTATACAGAGAAACCATATATTGAAAAACCATAAACAAACAAGTAAATAAAAAAAAAGAATGTACACCCACCTGTAATACCAGCACTCAGAAGGCTGAGGGAGAAGGATCTTGAGTTTGAGGCCAGCCAGGGCTACTAAGCAAGACCTTTTCTCAAAAGAAAACAAAAATCAAAAGCTTAAAAAAGAATAAAAGAGTTAGCATGGAAGAAGATACCAGAAAGTGGAAAGATCTCCCATGCTCTTGGGTAGGTAGAATTAACATGGTAAAAATGACAATCTCACCAAAAAGCAATCTACAGATTCAATGCAATGCCCAGCAAAATTCTTCACAGACCTGGAAAGAATGGTACTCAATGTCATGTGGAAAAGCAAAAGACCAAGGATAGCCAAAACAATTCTATACAATAAAGGAACTTCTGGAGGCATCACAATCCCTGACTTCAAACTCTACTACAAAGCTACAGTACTGAAAACAGCCTGGTATTGGCATAAAAACAGACAGGAGGACCAATGGAACCAAATAGAAGACCCGGATATTAATCCACATACCTATGAAAACCTGATTTTTGACAAAGAAGCAAAAAATATCAAATGGAAAAAAGAAAGCATATTCAACAAATGGTGCTGGCATACCTGGATGTCAATATAGAAGAATTAAAATAGATCCATATCTATCATCATGCACAAAACTCAAGTCCAAATGGATTAAAGACCTCAACATAAAGCCAGCCACACTGAACCTCATAGAAGAGAAAGTGGGAAGTACACTTGAACACATTGGCACAGGAGACCACTTCCAAATATAACCCCAGTAGCACAGACAATGAAAGCATTAATTAATAAATGGGCCCTCCTGAAACTGAAAAGCTTCTATAAAGCAAAGAACATCATCAACAAGACAAAACAACAGCCTACAGAATGGGAAAAGATCTTCACTAACCCCACATCAGACAGAGGTCTGATCTCCAAAATATATAAAGAACTCAAGAAATTGGTCATCAAAAGAACAAATAATTCAATATAAAAATGGAGTACAGACCTAAACAGAGAACTCTCAACAGAGGAATCTAAAACGGCTGAAAGACGCTTGAGGAAATGCTCAACATCCTTAGTCATCAGAGAAATGCAAATCAAAACAACTCCGAGATTCCATCTTACACCTGTAAGAATGGCCAAGGTCAAAAACACTGATGACAACTTATGCTAGAGAGGTTGTGGGGTAAAGGGAACACTCCTACATTGCTGGTGGAAATGCAAGCTGGTACAGCCTCTTTGAATGTCAGTGTGGCGATTTCTCAGAATATTAGGAAACAACCTTCCTCAAGACCCAGCAATACCACTTTTGGGTATATATCCAAAGGATGCTCAATCGTGCCACAGGGACATGTGCTCAACTAGTTCATAGCAGCTTTGTTTGTCATAGCCAGAACCTGGAAACAACCTAAATGCCCTTCGACCGAAGAATGGATAAGGAAAATGTTCTACATTTACACAAGGGAGTACTACACAGCAGAAAAAAATAACAATATCTTGAATTTTGCGGGAAAATGGATGGAGCTAGAAAACATCATTTTGAGTGAGGTAACCCAGACACAGAAAGACAATTATCACATGTATTCACTCATAAGTGGTTTTTAATCATAAAACAAAGTAGACCAGCCTACAAATCACAATCCCAGAGAACCTAGACAACAATGAGAACCCTAAGAGAGACTTACATAGATCTAATCTACATGGATAGCAGAAAAAGACAAGATCTCCTGAGTAAATTGAGAGCATGGGGACCTTATGAGAGGGTTGAAGGAGAAGGCGAGGTAGGGAGGGGAGGAAGGGAGCAGAGAAAAATGTAGAACTCAATAAAAATAAATAAATAAATAAAGGAATGAATGAATGAATGAATGGTTAGGATGTAAAGTTGAGGATTTTTTCAACTTTATGTATAGAACATAAAGACTGTGAGGAAATAGAGAACAAGTAATGTTAGATAAATCCAGAATGCATAAAACCCTCACCTGGCCAGGTGGTATTGGTGCATGCCTTTAATCCCAGTACTCAGGAGGCAGAAGCAGGTGGATCTCTCTGTGAGTTTGAGGCCAGCCTAGTCTACAAAGTAAGTCCCAGGACAGTTAGTACTACACAGAGAAACCCTGTCCTCCCCCCCTCCCAAAAAAGTCATCGTCTGGGCTCCAAAAGAAATAAAGAAACAAAAAACAAAACAAACATTTTCCAGATTTGACAGACCTGTTTTCCACATGGCTAGAAGTAATCAAGCATCTCATAAAACAAATGGGAAAGATCCAAAAATGAAGCAGACCAGTGTTTGATTTTACAACATTCGGCTAAAGAGTTGGCTTCTAAAACAAAGCTTTAAAGAAGGGGAAGACTGAAGCCAGGATATGGCTCAGTCAGTATAAAGTGCTTGCTTGCAACCATGAGTACCTGAATTTGGGTCTCCAGCAGCCGCATAAAACCCAAGCACGGATTCCAGTCCCATGCAGAGACAGTTGTGTCACTGGGTCTTGCTGGCCAGCTAGACTAGCTGAATAAAAGACCCTGTGTCAAAACTCAAGGTAAGGAATAATAGAGAAAGACACCTGTTATTGTAGCAAAAGTAACAGCAGTATCTTAAACATTCTGAGGAAGACAAGTCAGTATGTCATACACTGCCCAGCAATACGGCAAACAAATGCCAAGGTAAAAGTAGTTTCAGGAATAGGAAAGGCACTTGCCACCAAGACTGATGATTGAGTTTAGTCCCCAGAGCTCACGTGGTGTAAGGGGAGAAATGGCAACCATGGATTGTTCTCGGATCTCTATATGTGTTGTGGCACTTGCAGTTCATCCTCTCCCTCCTCCTCCACACATAATAAAGAAATAATTTTAAATTTTTAAGTAGTTTCAGACATGTGGGGCCATGGATACACCTCTCACATCATTCTTACATCAGTTTTGGAGAATAATTCCCAGCAAAATGGAAGAAGACAGTGTGACTGAGAGCTTTTTTTGTTTGTTTTCAAGACAGGGTCAGGGTTTCTCTGTGTATGCCTGGCTGTCCTGGAACTCACTCTATTGACCTCAAACTAGAGATCTGCCTGCCTTGGCCTCCCTGGTACTGGGATTGAAGGTGTGGACCACCACCACCCAGCTGAGAATGAGAGCTCCAATATAGGCAGCCAGATCGGAACATGCAAGGATAGCAGCCTGGCAGACTTGGGGGAAGTCAGCTAGGGCTGAGAGAGAGGACAGAAAGTCTTTGGGAATTCCAGGGGAGGGGGAATGAGATGGGAAGTCAGTTGGCTATTCTGTATGTTTGAGAAATAAAATTGGTAGTCCTGTGCTTGGTCTGACACTGCATGAGTATGGATTAGGTGCATACGTAAAAGCAAGAGGGAAGAGGAGCAAGCCAATTATTAATTCCAGGAAAAACAAAAAGGCATTACTGAGAAAGGAAATGTGATCTTTAGTACATTCCTTGAATTGTAGTATCTAATATTTACGAAATATTACTATTTCGTAATGCTAGAGTTACATTCATGAACAATCTACTTGTACCAGAGAGAATTCTTTGGCCTCCAGGCTCAGAGCCCCCATGGGATATGGTAGAGTTTTGAATGTCTGCTGCTTGCTTCATTTATAGCAGAGTGTGGGCAGTCCTTGGGCAACTGAAAATTGCTGGGTTATATCCTCCTTACTGCTTATCTGTTGGGTCAGAAAATCAAGCTCATTGGGATTCTTACATCTGCATTATTTGTAGTCTAAGAATTTGGCTCAGTTAGCATTTGTGAAGTCCTAGGTCCCCAAAACTATAACCTAGGCATGGTGGAACACACCTGTAATTCTAACACTTGGGAACTGAAAGCAGGAAGGACAGAAGTTCAAGGTCATCTTTGGATCCCTAACAAGTTCGGGGCAGCCTGGGGATTCCTGAAACCTTGTCTAGAAAGAAAAGAAAAGAGTATTTGAGACTTTATTGTTGGTATGTTGTATCATAAAGGAATTCTAGGCCTCATAGTGATAGACTTTAGTCGTCCCTCTTTTGTTTATTGATCTGTTTGTTTTGTGTGTTTGTCAGAATGTTGTGGAACAATTCAATCCTGGGCTACGAAACTTAATAAACCTAGGAAAAAATTATGAAAAAGCAGTGAATGGTAAGTCTTTTAATTTTTTTCTAAATTAATGTAAAGCACATGAAATCTATTAATATTTTATTTATCTTTAAATACTTAACATTGCATCTTAAAAATCTCTCTAACTGGAATTTTTTATAACTTATCTACAGGATTTTGCAATGATAATGCAGTATGGTACTAATGTATTTGAAATGAGTTAAATGAGTAATTGTGAAGGAACTATAAGTAACATTTTAACTTTAAAATTGTGCTTTCTGATATACAAAATCAGGCTTTAATATCATTTCCATGAACTTTTCTACTTTTGTTTTGTTTTCTTGTTTTTTGAGACAGGGTTTATCTGTGTAGCTTTGGAACCTGTCCAGGAACTCACTCTGTAGACCAGGCTGGCCTCGAACACACAGAGATCTGCCTGCCTCTGTCTCCCGAGTGCTGGAAATAAAGGCGTGCGCCACCACCGCCCTGCTAGAAGAATTTCTTGCCTTTAGATAGATTGTTTTTTTCATTTTGAGACAGAATCTCACTTTGTAACATAGGGTAGCCAGCCTTTGAACTCAGGAAATCCCCCTTCCTACCCTCCCAAGTGCCAGGATCGCAACTGTGAGCCACTATAATACCTTGCTGATATATCATTTTTTATAGTAACATGAAAAGTAATATTTTTAACCTCAATAGAAGAACATCTACGTTAAAAGTTGTGCTTAAATTATCATTTCAAAGTAAGTTCTTCATTGAAACTGAATTTGAAGGCATAAACTTCAACTGTTGATCTTTGCCTCTCTTCTGGGGCCCAGGTTGTTAGCTTTCTTGAAAAGGTTTTCACTGAGAAGGCTGATAAGCAGCTATTGCTGCACTGCTACTGAAAGCGAATGCTATTAGAATACATTGCTAACCACCCTCAACCATGGCCCAGCAAGACAGTGTACTGCCTACACCCTGAGCTGTGGATGGCAAGGAACATGATAGTTGCAGTCACTGGAAAAGTAGACTTGTGCTGTGCATTTTTATCTGCAGTTTTCAGTACCAGGAGATAAAGCAGGTCTGAGATCTTGCTTCTCTTTCCAAACATGTCTTTATCTTCTACAGGCACCTTCCCTCCTCTGAGAGCAAGAGGCTGGCCTTACTGCTGTCCCTTGGTGATTGCTTAATCACTGCCCCACAAAGTCATCACTGTCTCCAGTCCTCACAGGGAAAGCACTGTGACCTGTAGAACTGTTTTATTTATTATTATTATTATTATTATTATTATTATTATTATTATTATTACTGTGTATCCTGAACTACTTTCTGAGGCAGAGTTATAGACTAAGAGAGCTGCTTGCAGTTTAGCTTCCCGTTAACAAGACTTCTCCCCAAAGGGCTCTTACCAATTCACCACCTCCTAGAGATGGTTCCATACTTGATAAGTATTCCCAGAACTTCTGCAGGCCATCTGGGTATAGTTTTGCTGAAGCCACTGATAATTTTAGATAGTATAAATCTCTTGGTAAGAATTTGTAGTACAGATGAGGATGTCAGCCAGATTATAAAGGTGGAGTGACATGTGAATGGCTGAGAGAGAAATCTAGACGATTGTCAACAGGGATCTGAATAGGAGTGATTGGTGTGGGTCGGAGCAGGCAGGAAACCTTACAAGAGCTCAAGCTAACTAACAGATAGGAGATATCAGCAGACAGACACTGCTTCAAGCAGAAAAAATGAGCACTGGGCGCCACACTAAACTGGGGAGAAGTAGGACTGGACAATGTCAGCTTAGTCAAGCATTGCAGTGTTTATAGCACTAGGCACCTACTGTTGTACAAAATACTGCAGCTACCCACAGACTTGGTGGCTTAAGATGCCACTTTCTATTTCCCCTGGAGTCTCAGGACTCATTCCTCTGGGGGCTTGACATACTCTGTCCTCGGGTGGTCTTCTTCCATCAAAACCGCACTAGCCTTAAAGGCCTAACATTTACTGAGTTCCTGTGTAAACCATGCTTGTTGGTATCACAGTGGCCAAAACAAGTTCCATGGTCAGTGTCTCAGGAAACCACAGACTGGAAATCTGTAGGGCCATAGTTCATTGAAACTATTACTATAAAAATCTATCATGAACTCGTGGAATGTGGACTTGTGAGAGATCCATTGGGGCTTTAGTAGAACAATAACCCAATAAAGCTATATTTTAAGAAAAATATTATCAGCCAAGCATGGCACTTGCCTTGAATGCAAGCACTTGGGTGCCAGAGGCAGGTGGATCTCTGTGAATTCGAAGCCAACCTGGTCTACATAGTATGTTCCGAGGACCACCAGAGCTATAATCACTAAAACAGAATTCATAGGTTTCCTAAAATAGTAAGAAGCAGAAACTCACAAGGTGGGGCAAGTTTATCAAAATACTATTTTATTTTTTATTAGTTCTGGATAAATTACATGGTTTTTAAGTTAATTTAGCCTTATTATAAAAAAGCTAGTATTTTTTTAAATGTGAAAAGGCAAAAAAATTATAAAAGCAAAGCTACTTTGAAAGACTGAGAAGCTTGCATGGTTTTAATATAAGTAAACAGTTAATGAAAAATAATCTTAATGTGTGGGTGTAAACCAGAAATTTTAACTGTTGTGTAATCCTTAATGCAGCTCTCCCACTAATGTGCTCTTCGGTTTATCAGTATTTTACAATTTAAACCTCTCATTTGAACCTCATCTATTGACTTGACATTTTGCTGGCAACACACTTGTTTTTAGGTGGAGTTGCTTCTTCCTTGGTTCCAGCTAAAGCACTATGATTTAGAGCTGAGGAAGTGAAGTACCTCAGCAGGAGTTGTGTACACTGTGGCTGACTCACATTGACCTTGGGGACAGCCTGAAGTGTCTCTACTCCACTCCCTTGGCAAAAGGAGCTGATAACATTACCCACCAGTGTCTTAACATTGTCAGTAGATTAGCTAAGTAATGACTTGAAAAGTTTATATAAATGCTGCCTGTTGTTGTTAATTACTCTGTAAGTTCTCCTCCAGTCTTATAAGATAGTAATACAGCAGAACATTGCATTTCTTAAACTTACATGAAGATAAAAAAACCACCTTAATTTGTATTTTAAAAAACTATAGTAAATGCTGAAATATTTAAAAAAAAAACTACAGGGGCAGGAATTCGGCCTTTAGCTACACCTATACATGATAAATTATCTGATCTTTTAAAATCTTTCCCCATAAAAGTCCACCTTTTAGGTTTGGTGGTGTAGCTTAGTGGTAGAGTGCTTCCTTAGCATCTGAGAATTAAAAATACAAATAGGGGCTGGAGACATAGCTTAGCAATTGAAAATCTTGCTTGTCTTGCAGAGGACCTGAGTTCTGTTCCCATCACCATCAGGCAGCTCACAATTGCATTCATCTCCAGCTCCAGGGGATTCAGTGTCTTCTGGCGTCTGTGGGTACCTGCATATACATGACATATTCACACACAGACATACACATACTTATAATTTTCTATCTTAATAAAAATATAGGGACTTGGAAGACGGCTTGACCGTAAAGTGCTTGTCTTAAAGAAGAGAACCTGAGTTTGCTCTTCACCATTTATGTAAAAATATCAGGTATAGTGGCACAGGCTTGTAATTCCAACACTTAGGAGGTAGAGACAGGTAGATCACTGGGACTCATTGCTCAGTCAGTCTAACCTAATTGGCTAGCTCCAGGCCAATGAGAGACCCTGTCTCAAAGGAGGTGGACCATGTTCCCAAGGTTCCACATATGCATTCATGAGTGTCTGTAAACATACACAATAAATAAATAACAACCTATTTTTTAGCCTGACTCGGTGGCACAGGTTTGTAATTCTAGATGCTTAGGAGGCTAAATAAAGCTAGGAAGATTAGGAAGTCAAGGGTATCTTAGAAAACTTAGTTGAGATCCTGTCTCAAAATGAAAATTACAATAAAAGGACTGAGGATGTATCTCAGTGGTAAAGCACTTAACTATTCTGTGGGTAAAGAGAATGCGCCAGGAGGCCTGTTTAGTCCAAGTTCTGTGCTCACCAGAGCTCCAGGGAAAAATGATTTCTGTATATGAAGGCAATCTCTGAATTTAGAGGAAGGGTAGAAACTTTTTTCCCTCCAGAGTGACGCTGATTTTGGCTGAATCTTGTTGAAATGCTTGCCTGTCATACACCATTCTCAAACTGAATTGCCTGTAAAGCAAAAGAAGCCAGACTGCCACTTATCCATCCCACTCCAGCTTTATTAGAGAACTTTACAGAATGGGTAGCCTTCAGCTCCACAGGACACATATCCTTTGGGGTCAGTGTGAAGGAGAAAACAGTTTTAAAGTTTTTAATTTGATTATTTTAAATTGTGTATATGTGTGTGACTTGAGGGTGCCCACAGAGGCTGGAGATGTTGGATCCCTCGGAGCTTGAGTGGTTGTGAGCCTCCTAACATGGGTGCTGGGGGAACTGAACCTGGATCCTCTACAAGAGTAGTATGCATTCTTAACTGCTAAACTATCTCTCCATTTTAAAAAATATTATTTATTTTTTTAATTAGAGAAAACATATTTTAGCATGATGAGAACCTAGGTTCTGTTGGAATAAAACCTTTGCTTGTTTCTGCTGAAAGGAAAAGGAAGGAAAATTATTTTTTTAGATAAGTCTGTAAATTCTTTGGTTTTTTAAGACAGGGTTTGTCTGTGAAACAGTCCTGGCTGTCCTGGAACTCGCTTTGTAGAACAGGTTAGCCTCGAACTCACAGAGATCCGCCTGCTTCTGCCTCCCGAGTGCTGGGATTAAAGGTGTGCACCATGACCTCCCGGCAATGCTAATGTATTTCAAATTTCATAGTTTTTTTTTTCTGCAGTAGCAAATATGTTGGTTAGTTGTGACTCAGATTATTTTTTTACAGTATTAGGGATTGAGCCCAGGACATAGTGCATGCTAGGCAAGCTTTCTGTGCTGAGCTATGCTCCAGCCCCTCACCAGGGATTCTAGGCAATCACTCTTCATAAGAGTCCCACCATGTTCCCCAGGCTGGCCTTGAACTCACTCTGAAGCCTAGCTAGACTTTAAATTCCTCCTGCCTCAACCTTCTGAGTAGCTGAAATTATTGTCCTATACTACCAGACATGGCTCTTTTTTATCTTTTGGTGTGTGTGGGGGGGTGTTGTTTGTTTTTTGAGACAGGGTTTCTCTGTAGTTTTGGAGCCTGTCCTGGAACTCACTCTCTAGACCAGACTGGCCTCAAACTCACAGAGATTTGCCTGTCCCTGCCTCCCAAGTGCTAAGACTAAAGGCATACACTACCACTGCCTGGCATGACCTGGCTCTTTTTTAATAGAAAAAAACATGTGCTTTCATGAGACGGGTTCCTAGGCCATTGTACCCAGGACTACTCAAGTACTGACATGGCTGATCTGTATGTTCCCAAAATGTTTCTGTTCCAGTGTCTGTTTGATGTCAGGAACATACCCTGGAATTGGCATCAGGAGCAGGCAGGGTCTTATAACTTCACCTGCCAAAATAGTCTGGTCTAGAACTTCTTGTCATCAGAGGCACACTGAGATGTTGAACCTGTGTTACTTCCTCCTTTCCTTTCTGAGTAATGATTTTTTGTATCACATTCCTGTCTAGCTATGATCCTGGCTGGAAAGGCCTACTACGACGGAGTGGCCAAGATTGGCGAGATTGCCACTGGGTCTCCTGTATCAACAGAACTAGGTGAGCTGCCATCCATTTTTACAAAAACCTAGCCTGCTACCCTAGGAGTTTGATAAGAGTGTTCCAGGGCTGGGCGGTGGTGGCGCACGCCTTTAATCCCTTCACTTGTGGGGCAGAGGCGGAAGGATCTCTGTGAGCTCAAGGCCAGCCTGGTTGAGAGAGTGAGTTCCAGGATAGACTCCAAAACTACACAGAGAAACCCTATCTCAAAAAAATAAATAAATAAGTGTGTCAGGTAGCTCAAATCAGGAACACAAAAGGACTGGTTGGCACTGTAGTTTGAGTTCACCCTGGCTCTTGAAAATGGAGGTGTTTTTGGAAGGCAGGCCAAGCCTAGAGGGGCCTAGAGACGAGGTAGAGGCCCCTTCCCTGACCTTAGAAACTCTGCTCCTGCCTTTGCTGCCTGGGTTCAGGCCTGTCACATCAGGTCCCTGAAGTTCCAGCTTGAAGAACGGTGACCTACATTTTGAACCAAGGTGGGTGAGAAAGACCTCTGACCAGGCCAAGTGCTTCCGGTGACTCACCTTGTGGAAAATGACTCCTTGATTCCTTTATGCTGTGCTCTTGGCTCCCATTCCTTCCACAGTTGCCCTTGGTTGTGATTTTTCCGGTTTTGCTAGTATGAATGGATCCCCTGTGCAGGCACGGAGGGTAGCCACACCCTGGGCAGCTCCCACCACAGCCAAGGGAAGCTGGGCTTCTATTTACAGAGCTAATGCCGCTGCACTGCGGTCATCTCCTGCAGGCAGGGCCACTTTGCCAATAAACCCACGTGTCACTCTCATCTTTAAAATTTATGGACTATGTTTTATTGTATGGATGCTAGGAATTTGCTTTAAGGATTCTGAAAAACATAGTGAAGCGTGTATGTGTGCCTAAAGTGTGACATGTCCATCTCTACTCGGTGTCTTGAGACTTTTCAAACTTGCCTGAGGAACTTACTGACCCCCGCTCAAAGGCTGGAACAAGCTAGAAGCTTGATGCTGATGGCAGGATGTGGGACAGGCTGTGTTCGTGTTCTCCAACTGCTTTATGCCTAAAAGTTGGTGAAGCAGTAGACAAAAGGCACAGTGCACATCTGCAGTGATGTTATATGATGAGGAGCAACACTGCCCATGTTTCGCAGAATCCATCACAAGTGGTGTTTGAAACCCCAGCTGTGTTCTGTGGATGTGGTATCATGATGACCAGTAGCTCTCTGAAGCACCATCCGTTTAATGACATGCAGCTGCCTTATATAGCAGATAGCAATGTTTTAGATATTTGGGGTTCCAGAAACAACTGAGATGATAATAGGTTCCAAAAATAAGCTTAAATTAAAAAGAATCATCCCATTGTGCCAGGCATCGGGAGAAAAAAAAGTATGACCCTCACATTAAAACATATGGTGCTCTGACTCACCACCATTCAGCTTGCCATTTTAATGTTTTATGGGTCTTGCCACTGTTTAAATAAGACTTCTGTTCCACACCTTACTTTATTCAGCTTCAAGTTCATAACATTGAATCAACTATTTCCACAGTAACAGTGTTGTTATAAACACTGCCTTGAAGCTCCAGTTTCAGGGGGAAGTATATTGAGAAGGTGAAGGTCCTTCTGTGAAGAGGAAATGAAAGTAAAGGCCCTTTCTAGTTTACTTTGTTTCAGGTTGTCCTCCTGCTTATGTCTACTGTCTCAGAGTTACTAGTTTTTTGCCCACTTATGGCTTTCCCTAGATAAGTTCACCTCAACAAGCCTTGTTTTGGGGGAGCCTAATAATAACTACTTTTGACTTGCATATTTTCTTTTGATAGTGTTTAAAATACCATACTTTCTTCATTTAAATTCACAGTATGGAAGAGTAGCAGAAAATTTACATATTTTCAAAAAGTAGAAGAGGAAGAAGGAGAAAGAAGGACTAGAGAAATGTGAATAAAATACTTGGCACACGAGCATGAGGACCTAAGTTCAGATCCCCAGCCCTCCTGTAAAAGCAGAGTGTGGCAGCACATACTACACTCCCATCACTAGGAAGGAGGGTGAGGCACCCTGTCTCAAAAATAAAGTGGAAAAGCTAGTAATAAAGACACATGATATCAACCTCTGATCTTCTCAGACATGCACACATGCTCCCAGGTACCTGTATACACCCCTCTCCCAAAAGAAAGAATAAATAACCAAAGGTAGATTGTGTTTCTCTCATTTTCGCAATATTTTTATGTGATTTGGATACTGGTACTCATAGCCTTATGAAACATAAAGTTTATTTAAAACTGTCTTAGTTTGGTTTCTATTGCTGTGATAAAACACCCTGACCAAAAGCAACTTGGGGAGGAAAAAATATATTTTGCTTATATTTCTATATCACAGTTTATCATCAAGAGCAGTCATGGCAGAAACTTAAACAAGGCAGGGACCTAGAGGCAGGAGTTGTTACAGAGCTGCTTACTGGCTTGCTCTTCATGGTTTGCTCAGCCTAATTTCTTATACCACCAAAGACCACCAGTCCAGGGATGACACTGCCTGCAGTGAGCTGAGTCTTCCCACAGTAATCATCAAAGAAGAAAATATACCACAGGCTTGCCCACAGGCTAACCTAGTTGGGGCATGTTTTTACTATTATTATTTTTATTGAGCTCTACATTTTTCTCTGCGCCCCTCCCTTTTTCTCCCCTCCCCTTTTCTCCCCTCCCCTTCAGCCCTCTCCCAAAGTCCCTATGCTCCCAATTTACTCAGGAGATCTTGTCTTTTTCTGCTATCCATGTAGATTAGATCTATGTAAGTCTCTCTTAGTGTCCTCATTGTTGTCTAGGTTCTCTGGGATTGTGATTTGTGGGCTGGTTTACTTTGTTTTATGATTAAAAACCACTTATGAGTGAATACATGTGATAATTGTCTTTCTGTGTCTGGGTTACCACACTCAAAATGATGTTTTCTAGCTCCATCCATTTTCCCGCAAAATTCAAGATATTGTTATTTTTTTCTGCTGTGTAGTACTCCCTTGTGTAAATGTAGCACATTTTCCTTATCCATTCTTTGGTCGAAGGGCATTTAGGTTGTTTCCAGGTTCTGACTATGAGAAACAAAGCTGCTATGAACTAGTTGAGCACATGTCCTTGTGGCACGATTGAGCATCCTTTGGATACATACCCAAAAATGGTATTGCTGGGTCTTGAGGAAGGTTGTTTCCTAATATTCTGAGAAATCGCCACACTGACATCCAAAGGGGCTGTACCAGCTTGCATTTCCACCAGCAATGTAGGAGTGTTCCCTTTACCCCACAACCTCTCTAGCATAAGTTGTCATCAGTGTTTTTGATCTTGGCCATTCTTACAGGTGTAAGATGGAATCTCGGAGTTGTTTTGATTTGCATTTCTCTGATGACTAAGGATGTTAAGCATTTCCTTAAGTGTCTTTCAGCCGTTTTAGATTCCTCTGTTGAGAGTTCTCTGTTTAGGTCTGTACTCCATTTTTTTTTTAAATTGGATTACTTGTTCTTTTGATGACCAATTTCTTGAGTTCTTTATATATTTTGGAGATCAGACCTCTGTCTGATGTGGGGTTAGTGAAGATCTTTTCCTATTCTGTATAGGCTGTCATTTTGTCTTGTTGACCATGTCCTTTGCTTTACAGAAGCTTTTCTTAATTGAAGTTCCTTCTTTCCAGATAACTGTGTCAGGTTGACACAAAATCAGCCAGCACAAAGACTAAGGAGAAGCCAGGCATTGGGACGGATGCTTGTAATCCCAACACTTTGAAAGCTAAGGCAAAAGGATCACAAAGTCAGCCTGGGTTATATAGTGAGTCTCTGTCTCCAAAACAGGGAGAAGAACTGGGGCTGGCAAGATGACTTAGCAATAAAGGTGCTTACTGCTGGCTGGCAATCTGAGTTCAATTCCAGGGACCCATATGGTAGAAGGAGAGAACTGACCCCTTAAGGTTGTTCTTCGACCTCCACCTATCCTGTGGTCTGTGCCCATCCCCCAACACACACAATTAATGTAAATTTAGAAAAACTTTAAATGAAGGACTGGAATACAGCTCAGGGATACAGTACTTGGCTAGAACACAAACAGTTCTGTCCCAACACAAAGACTACAGTATAACTTCAGTGAGACCATGTTCATTTCAAGTTTTTCATTCAGCGAGTCTTTTGAATTAACTTCTGTTGGTAAAGATGGAGTGGATTTTTAACTATAGATGGTTCTGTTTAGGCTGTTGCTATGTGAATAATTTAGTATGCTTTTGCTCAAACATAACAAATGTCCAGCCTACCGTGATTTAAGCAATAGGCATGTTTATTATTTCATGTAAGGCCAGGAGCAGCAAGTTCCTGCTTAGTTAATCATCACCAAGAACTCAGATTCTATCTCTTTTTCTTGTCTTCATATCCATTTCCTCATGGCACCAAGATGGCTACCAGTCTGATTATCCCATGTCTTCTCATTGTCTGCAAATACAGGGAGTAAAATGTCTTCTTGGGTGTGTCCTTTTATGAAGGAGGAACCCTTGCCCAGAAGCTGCAGCACACACCCTTCTATGTTCCATAACCCAGGTTAGGTCACACTCATCCATTTCCAGCTGCCAGAGAAGGTTCCTTGTGACTGGCTGAGGACTGCAGAAGTGAGGACACAGCTGTTGGGGGGAGGCAGCCCTGATAGCAGGCAGCTCTGGCATTAAATGATTTGGTTTCAGTGGTTTGAGTGAAGGGGAAGACATTACACAAATGTTTCTGGAAGACATTTGTGGTGCTTTTGCGTGTTACGGGTGTCTCTGATTGGAATGGATTTTTTTCCTTCCCATGTGGGCTGGCGTACATTTGCCCAGCAGTTGTATACGTCAGACCTTGTCACTTGCTCTCCTAGGTCTATTGCACTTCTTTTCCCATAGACCACAGCTATCCTTCCCATCTGCTGTTTAGAGACAAGAATCTAAGCAGGAAGGAAGAAGGATGTTGGGGATTTTTTGTTTCTTCTACCTACTGAGTTTTATTGCTCACCTTTGACTGCCTTGTGACCATG